AAAATAAAATCCTATCTTCACATATTTTGCCCTTTTCCACTATAACACCCATAGAAAGTGTTAACAAACATCACACGTGGCAAGCAACGATTGGTTCTCCCACTTGAACGTTAGAATAAGCCGTACCTTCTTGAATGTATTTGTGTATTTATAGCTATGTACTATGTAACCAAAGTAGACAGAAAATATTATTTTTCCTTTCCTCTCTTCCTTACCTCTGTGCTCCGCACTCGTTCCAGGAAGAAGGAAACTTTCCTTCATTCCTTTCTTGCTCAGACGAGCTCTATCATTCTACATGGTATCAGACGTATCAGGCAACAACCAAGCCAAGCATCCTGAGGCACCATGTCGGCCAATCTCTCCACCGACACAACCACATCTGCCACTCCAACAGACTTCCTCTCCACCAACGACGACTTCGCTTCACCACAGATTTCCTCCTTCCTTAAGTTCTTGATGAACAGCATCAAGAACGTCACCGCTCAAGCTCTCACCGTCGAAAATTATTCACTATGGCACTCACAAGTGAAAAAACTATTCCGAGCAAACGGATTTGAAGGGTTCTTGACCGGAACAACAATCTCTCCGCCTTCCCAAACTCTATCCAGCACAGGGCAACAAATTCATAACCCAGCGTATACCACCTGGGTCCTCATCGATCAAAATTTAGCCGCCGCCCTATACTCCATCATTTCGCCGGCCATCTTACCCTAAGTACTCTCCGTCAACCACTGTTCCGAAATCTGGCAGACCTTGGACGTCCACCTCCAATCTAGCACAAGATCAAGAATAGCTCATCTCAAGAAAGAGCTACACTTCTTGTCCATGAAAGACAAGAACATGACGCAATATCTTCTTGACGTCAAATCCAAAGTGGATGCGCTAGCAGCCGCTGGTGCACCGGTTGACGTAGAAGACGTGATACACTACACGCTGAACGGCCTCCCAAACACCTATTAAGCTTTCAAAACAGCTATTCGCACAAATCTCCGCCCTGTAACCCTCGACGAACTGTATACACTCTTGTGCAACGAGGAGCTCAACCTAGCTCACGAAACCCTTCGGGATCTTAAATCGCTCAATATCGGAGGAAATCAAACGGCTCTCACGGCAAGAGGACGAGGACGCGGACGATCCTCCCAGTTTAGTGGACGAACCTCAGCTTGGCAGACCAACTCGTCCAACTCCAAACGTGGGAACAAATCCAACCGCCCCTCCGTCACATGTCAAATATGCGGAAAACTCGGTCACTTGGCCATCAAATGCTGGTACAGACACGACGAAAATTACAACACCGATCCTCCGGCAGCACTCTTCACGACCCCATCTCAACCTTCTACCTCCGAGTGATTTCTCTATAGTGGCGCATCCACTCATCTAACTTATGATCCCAACAACATTTAACAGGCGCAAAGCTATTCTAGCTCCAGCCAAGTTATTCTCGGCAACGGACATCAACTTCCGATCCACAGCACGGGTAAAGGTATCCTACCGACGTCAACAGGTAGTCTGATTTTAAAGAACGTCAATCTTGTTCCAAATCTGTCGTTTAACCTATTATCTGTGCATAAACTAATTCAAGATAACGACTACATCATTATCTTTACCCCTAACGGCTATGAAATACAGGACCGGAAGACCCACCACCGTCTTCTCACGGGTCCAACTATTAATGGCCTTTACCCCCTCAGAAAATTCAAGAATACGACTAATCTCACAAATGGGCTTGCACTTCTCTCCCTTCAACATGTCCAAGATCTCTAGCATCGGCGCTTAGGCCACCCCTCAGCTTCCATCATGGCGGCCATCTCAAAACGCAATAGCAACATCAAAACAACTTCTTAAATGTGCAATGCGTGTAAAATGGAAAAATGTCATAGATTACCTATTCAGTCGTCTAATTTTGTAACCACATTTTCCTTTTCTTTGATTCATTCGGACGTCTGGGTTCCTTTCCCTATAAACTCTAACACTGGTTTTAGATATTACGTTTTGTTTATCGATGATTTCTCCAAATTTACTTGGCTTTTCCCTATTACAGCTAAATCAGAGGTTTTTGCAAAATTTTTAGAATTTCAAAATCTTATTAACCGTCAATTTAATAAGAAAATCAGGACACTGCGCATGGACAACGGTGGCAAATTCAAAAACACTAAATTCCAAATCTACTGTAGGCATAACGGCATTATTCACCAATCATCCTGCCCGCACTCTCCGTATCAAAACGGAGTCGCTGAGCGTAAACACCGACATATCATTGAGACCGCTCGAACCCTTCTAACCCAAGCTTCACTCCCCCAACAATTTTGGGTCGATACCATTCTCACCGCAAACACACTAATCAACTATCTTCCCTCTCCCAATACTCAATCAAAATCACCTTACGAAATTCTTTTCGGCAAAATACCGGACTACAACTACTTCAAAGTCTTCGGGTGTCTTTGTTACCCTTGGCTCAAGCCATATACCACAAACAAACTATCCCCAATCTCCCACCCATGTGTTTTTCTTGGTTACGCTAAATATCAAAAAGGATATCGTTGCCTAGACCCGCGCACAAACCGGATTTATACTTCTAATCACGTCATCTTCAACGAATCCATCTTCCCCTACGCCACGGACTCACCTCACGTCACAGTTTCTCAAAGTCTCCAAACACACACACCACCTCTACTTGTCATTCCCACCTCAAGCATCACAACAACTCCCGCCAACACTTCAACTGAATCAAATCGCATATCACATTCCGACTCAACATCCGCTCCCAATGCTCCTCCGGACCTATCCAGCACTCATACACCAACTCCCACTCACCTGACCGATTTGTCAGCAAAAAACCGAACCTCTCAGCCCTCTCCTAACCCGCAACCGGCACCACGACACCAAATGCTCACCAGACTAAAAACAGGGCACCAGAAACCTAAGAAAATATTTGATCTCGTGCATGCCCTTCAACCAACCGAACCAGTCACATACAAGTAGGCCGCTAAATCCGAACAGTGGCGTACAACGATGTCACAAGAATTTCAGGCACTGCAATCTCAAGGTACATGGGAACTCGTTCCTTCACACCCATCTCAAAACGTACTCGGATCAAAATGGACATTCAGAACAAAATACAATTCCGACGGCACAATCGCTCGCTACAAAGCCCGCCTAGTCGCAAAAGGATACAATCAAGAACACAGCATTGATTACACAGAAACCTTCAGCCCAGTGGCCAAAATGCCAACGGTACGCATTCTTATTCTTCTAGCATTACATTACAACTGGACAATACATCAACTTGACGTCTCGAACGCATTCCTCCACGGAACATTATCCGACACGGTCTACATGCAACAACCCCCCGGATTTCAAGACTCAATTCACCCCAACTACGTGTGCCATCTCAAAAAGGCCTTATACGGTCTCAAGCAATCTCCCAGAGAGTGGTACGCTACCCTCTCAAATCACCTGCTCACCTACAGTTTTCATATCAGCAATTCTGACCACTCGCTGCTCACTTACAAATCCGGGACTACTCGCATCTACATACTCATCTACGTCGACGACATCCCCCTGACTGGTAACTCCTCTACCGAAATAACTAAACTTCTTTCTAATCTGCACCAAAAATTTCAGATGCGCATCCTCAGGTCATTATCACAATTTCTCGGCATACAAACACACATCACCTCCTCCGGGGTGATTCTGCACCAACAACCTTACGCAAAATCAATCATCGAACGAGCTGGGATGTCACAATCCAAACCGGTAGCCACACCAATACCGGTCAAAATGACAACTTCTCAAAAATCAGCGGATCTGTACGATAATCCCCATCTCTACCGATAAATCGTAGGGTCTCTACAGTACCTTACTCTAACCCGACCGGACATCCAATTCGCAGTACAACAACTCTGTCAACATATGCACAAACCGCTCAACATTCATCACGAAGCCCTCAAACGCCTTCTCCGCTACATACAAGGTACTACGCCTACCGGCATTCCATTAAACCGAAAGTCGCTTGTGTTACAAGGCTTCGTTGACGCAGATTGGGCAAGCAATTCTCAAGACCAGACCTCCATTACCGGATTCTGCAACTTTCTCGGCAACTCGCCAGTCTCCTGGCACGTCCGGAAACAAAGTACAATCGCTCGTTCCTCCACCGAAGACGAATACAGAGCACTTGCAACCGAAGCATCCGAAATCCTGTGGCTAAGAAGACTTATGGAAGATTTTCACCAACCTCAAGAGTTTCCTTCAACAGTCTACTGTGATAATACATCGGCCATTGCCCTTGCCCACAATCCGGTATTTCACGCACGCACCAAACATATTGAGGTAGACTGTCACTTTATCCGGGACTGCATCAAGAAAAATCAGATTTATGTACATCACATCTGCACAACAGACCAAATCGCCGATCTATTCACAAAAGCGTTACCTACCCAAAGATTCAACCAGTTATCCAGCAAACTCACAGCTACCCTATAGCCATCAGTTTGAAGGGGGCTGTTAACAAACATCACACGTGGCAAGCAACGATTGGTTCTCCCACTTGAACATTAGAATAGGACGTACCTTCTTGAATGTATTTGTGTATTCATAGCTATGTACTCTGTAACCAAAATAGACATAAAATATTATTTTTTCTTTCCTCTCTTCCTTACCTCTGTGCTCCGCACTCGTTCCAGGAAGAAGGAAACTTTCCTTCATTCCTTTCTTGCTCAGACGAGCTCTATCATTCTACAGAAAGCACTCATAATCCACATCAAATACTCAAACCAAACCCCACCTCAAAATGGAAAGTTATTATGTCCGGACAAAAAATCAGAAATCCGAAAAAATACCGAGCGATACAGAGTGCTCGGTACCGAACAACCAAGTGAGAGTCGCTTTGTTATTGGTCTCTAAGCACGTTGGGTGTCCGGATACCATAATTACTCCCTCAAAAGGCGCGTCTCATCTCCCCCAACCACTTTCCCCATCCAATTAAAAGACTCCAACTCCGTTCCCCCTCTTCAAATAGAAACAAAAAAGCAAATGGTAGTGACAAAGAGAGGCGTAGAGGCGCAGCCAATTGCAGAAATAATGAGCCAGGACGCTCGCTCCTTCCGGTGGCCCAACGGCGAACTCGACGACAAGAACTTCCAGCTACACGGCCACAACCTCGTCCTCCTCCTCCTCATCATCTCCTTCCTCCTCCTCCTCCTCCTCCTATGCTTCTACTTCCGCCGCAGATGCTGTTACCATTCAGCTTCTCCCTCAACTGCCGCCGCCGGTTGCAGTGGTTGCCAAGGGATGGAAGAGGCGGCGGTGAGGAAGTTGCCGGTGAGAGTAAGGCTGGGAGAGGCGGCAGTGTGCTCTATTTGCTTGAGTTTGTTAATGGAAGGGGAGAAAGAGAAGGTTTTGCCGGGTTGCAGCCATGGCTTCCACCCAGTGTGCGTGGATGAGTGGCTGAGGAAGCGGTCGAGCTGTCCGGTCTGCCGAGCGAGCGTGACCGGCGAAGAGGAGAAGGTGGTACTCGCACTACCGGAGGTGGTGGTGGCGCTGGCGGCGGAGGTTTGAGGGAATATGTGATTAGTTAGGACTACCTACTACCAAAAGTTTTTTTTTTTTTTTTAATTCTTTTCTTTGTTTTGTTTGTTGAGTCCTTTGATCAGTTAAAGGCGGAGCTTCCAGCCTTTATGTGTATAAATATATGAGTTTTTATGCAGCTTAAAGTCTTCAATTATTATAAGAATGTAGCATTAAATTGCTAATTTAATGGCCGTCTGCCTCATTAGTTAGTCCTTCCACTCCAAATTTCATCCCAAGACCAATCAAAATGCGCCACGTCATCTCTATGCCTGATACCAAGTGGTAACACGACTCGATTCCGATGACATGATATATTATAGTTGGTCTCCGAATGACATTTTATGTCCCCTCCACACAGTAATTTCTCGAAAAGATTTGTGTAATCTATATATTTGTAAATCAAAAAGATTTGAAAGAAAAATTTATGTCAAGAATAGATACTATGATATAATTTATGTTTTAACGAATTTAAAAATAATTTAATTTACTTTAAATTTAATATAATATAATTTTTTATATAAATTTTATAATTTTAAAAATATTATGATGTAAATTATACTATGATATTTTAACATAATTTATTTCTAAAAAATATGCTGTAGGGAGATCATTCAATGAAGCATTTCAGAGCTAGAACACAAGACCATTGAAAACACTCTTAAAAGTTTCTTTTTTTTGTTTTGACATATTTGATAATTAAATTAAACAAATTGCATATATCAAGAAAACTATTTTAGATGCCAAAAGTTATAGACCAATTACTTTGATCCATTAAACCTCTAAATTAAAATCCATCACATAACTTGTGAGATCTTCATCATGAAAGTTACTTCCGAAGAAAACAATATTTAGTCAGAGTGATTGATCAATACATGAATGTTTTATTGTTCTCTCATAAAATCTTTTTTTGGGAAAAATATATTTCTTTTTTTAATTTTAAATGCAACAAAATTTTTAAAATTTTTTAATGTTGAAGCGAAGCTTGAATGAAAAAAGGAGCTGCAGAATCACGGTGGGCGGAATAGGAGTCGAGTTGTTCTTGAAGAGCAGCGTCGGGAGTGAAAGCCAAGGCACATTTCACACTATATCAAACTGCGTGCAAGGAAGTTGGATGCACGATTTTGCACATAGGATGAACTTCAGGTGGAGTCCGGGAGGCAAAGGTGCTAGTGTGTCGGAGTAGCGGAGACAAAGAAGCAATATCAAGAACTTAGAATCGGATCGCTAGCTAGTGCGAAGTCGCAAGTTGGAGCTTGCACGGGTGTCCGGGGATGACTGGCGAGCCGGAGTGTGCTCTATGTTGGAGTGCGGGCGTTCCACCTAGAGGCAAATGCATGAGCCAAAAGCACATAGGAGAGGGCAGTGCACAAGGCACAGGCTTGCAAGAGCTGTGGATCAGAACACACAGTGAAGGTCGGGCATGAGCGAGTTTGGGCTCAATTCGACAAGTTTGCTCGTGGAGTTAATTAGTGCAAAGAGTCCGTCAAATCGTTTGTTGATATTGTGTAGCAGATCACGGGCTTCTCTCCACCATCGCTTGGACTAATTGAAGCCTTCTGTTGAGCCCGTTACAAGGGCCATTTGACCCACCACTACCTTGACCCAGCATTGTCTCCTAGACATGTGAAGTACTATTTCCTAGAAAAGTATAGCTTTGCCTATTCATAAAAGTGGTTTGGGTCTCCCCCCTCTTGATATATCAAATATAGTGTGCAAAATCAAGTTGATATGGAGGCTTTATAATATGAATTCATATTTGGCTTCTTGATGTTATAATGCTTATGAATCTCTTTGGACAAAACCTCCATGTAATGCCACTATACTTCAGAAATCTCTACATAGTGAAACATTCTCTCACTTATTTTTTTGAATGCTTAGTTTCTTTGGGCACTGCTCAATTTCTTTTGGCTTGAGCACAATATGATTATTTATTTGAAGAGTGTTTTATGGTACGGTGTTGCTTTCTAGCTTGCATTAATGCCTACATGGCTGGCTTTTCATAAACTATCTAAGCTAGCTTGGTGGCTCTGGTCCTACCTGCATTAGGTGTGTAAATGAGTCGAGTCAGAGCTCGAGTGACTACTGACTTGAGTTTGAGTTTGAGTATGATTAATTAGTTAGTTCGAGCTCAAGTTTTATTCTACCAGTGTGAGCCAACTCATCGCGGGCTTCTCTCCACCATCGTTTGGACTAATTGAAGCCTTCTGTTGAGCCCGCCCGTCACAAGGGCCATTGGGCCCACCACTACCTTGACCCAACACTATATTTGATATATATTTGATAGTGGTGGGCCCAATGGCCCTTGTGACGGGCGGGCTTCAAGCTTGGATTTTTAGCTCATCAAATTAGGCTCAAGAGCTATTTATTGGGCCAAGCTCGACCCAGCTCAATGTCGGCTTAACTCACTTACACATCTCATGAAATTATTTTGGTTAATTTTTGGGTAGATATTATGACAAAATATTAAATTATAACTTGATGGGGCATTGACATAGCTTTAAGATTGAGAAGCCAAAGGACAAAATTATATAGGTGTAGAAGAAAGAAGTATCGCAGAGGAGGATAAATTTTTATTAATATTTAGAGTTCTTAATTATGCCAGTAATTAAATAATAATGATATTTGATGAACACAATTCATAATATTAAAAACAAACATGTAAGAAATAAAATCTTTAGAAAAAAGTTTATGAATCATAAAGCAAATTATATTAAAACTAATAGTACCTTATTTGTTGATTTTTTTCATGGTATATCTTATTAAATTTACACAGCTCTTCTTGGCCTATTGGTTGAGAGCTTCAGCTTCTAATTAAGAGATCTTGGGTTCAAGTTTTTGTGTATGCGTTGTGTGTATGAGTTTGCCTTAAATGACCTAAATGTCCAAAAAAAATCTTCTTAAATTTTGATGACAGTCATAATTATGAAATTTAGATTCAAAGAGGGATTTAATAAATCTGAGTTTTTATATTAACTTAGGCTTCATTTGGAACGACATTATCATTGTTTCTTAAAGAAGCTTTTTAATAAAAAATTAAAAAAACTGCTTTAAGAAGCTTTAAGAAAGCCATCCCAATGAAGTCTTAATCCGTTTCAAACAAAAAAAGCTGATAAGTTTAATAGAAATTCAACTTATATCTTATCTTTATTAGATATCACTAGACATCTGCAGATTAGTGATCATAGCAGATCAATTGAATGGCAATTTTGTTAGAAAAATCAATTAGTATAAGCAGAAAAATGAAAAATTATTCTGTGCCGGCGCTGTTCGGAGACCAACCACAATGAGCTATGTCGGTATTGCCGATCAGTACCGCTTGGTACCGTGTTTGATATTGCTGACGTAGCTCATTCTGATTGGTCTCCAGATGTACAGCATCGTCCGACGCCCGCTAGGGGTGCAACCGAGTCAAGCCGGCTCGCGAGCCGGCTCGGGCTCGACTCGTTAATGGGCTCGAGTCACCTGGGCCGCCCGTCACGGGCGCGACGACGGGCTCGATAGCGAGCTCGACGAGCCGCTCGATTTGACGACGAGTCGAGCTCGAGCTCGGATTTTGAGCTCGACTCGAGTTCGAGCTCGAGCTCGAGCTCGGGTTTTGATTGTCAGGCTCGACTCGAACACCCCCTGGCTCGAGCTCGACTCGAACACCCCCTGGCTCGAGCTCGACTCGACTCGTTTGCACCTCTAACGCCCGCACAAAATAATTTCTCCAGAAAAATAGATTGAGAAAGAAAATTAAAAGCCCTAGTCTGATATTGCGGGCTAGGCATTTATTTGAACTGGGCATACTTATTGTTGAGAGCAAGTCAACAGGTCAGTTCGAGTCTCATCAAGAAGTATATGGGTTCAATCTTATCTTTTATTATTTAAAAAATATATTGGGTTTCTTCTGGCCGTGGCTCAATTTCATTTACTTTTGGGCTTTAATTGTCCGTTGGTCTTATGATCTCATCTTATTAATATAGCCGTTAGAAGAATTTTGTTAGAGACTTTTGCTTTAGTTCCTCCTTTTCTCTCTGGCAGGCCGACTTGTTCCTGTTCTGTTTTGCCTGCTCTTCTGCTCTTTTTGCCGCGCAGGAATTCTTTGGGAATCTTTTGCAGAAAGTTACTTTGCTTGTTCAAGAGGATTGCATTGATGGGAGACGATGATGAATGTTGCTGGCACTCATCGACTAATTCTGTTATCCTAGAGGATTTTGTAATTTTGGGGCATTCTGAGCCTATGCATGCAAGGCCTGCTGCCCTTGCCCTCCCTCTTTGTTTCTTTGTATGTCTTGCTAAAATTTTTTTGGAGCATTTTGAGTCTGAAATTGGCTTCTATCGCTTGCCCTTTCTCCATCGTTTTAAGTTCCCTGCTTTTTTTTATTTTGAGGCTCTATAAGTCGTTTTGGGCTAAGGCCTTTTCTTTTCTTTCTTGTTACTGTTTGAAAGTTGGTCTTCTTTTTGGGTTGTAATTATTTTTCTCATTTAGATTAATGAAGCTAGGCCTGGCCCATGAGATATGTACTCACAAGGGATGACATTGTTATGTGTAGAATTTGATTGTGTTGATCAATCGGATTGTTCTGTTATCTCCGACCTTAAATTTGTCATATTTGTTGGGGTGTTTACCCCTAGTTTTTTCCCGTACAATGCCCCAATACTAAGTATCTGAGCACCCCAGCCAGCGCCGTGTTCTCGAGCGCCTCGGCCCAACGACAAAGAGCAGAGCATCACAGTGCTCTGCATTCGGCGCACCAATGCTGTGAGTTTGAGCACCCCAGCGTCATCATACAAAGGCTTGAGTGCCGCAACGCTGTGAGACCAATTGAACAATTTTATTTCTCTTTTTTCTGAAGGGTTGCGTCCCTTGGGGGTTATTTACTTGACTTTCTATTGTATTTCTTTAGTATTAGAAATAGCGAACTGTGCACGTGAGAAGAGGAGTAAGAGAGAAGAGCAATTTGTACTTATTTATCTAAATTTTCATAGTGAATTTTTTGGTATGGTGTGGCTCTGAGACTTTTTTCATGTTAAATCCTTATGTCATTTATTTTTTTCACTACTTTTATCTTCTTAATTTTTTCATCATTATGGTGTTTGCTCCTCCTCATCCCCAATAGACATGACCTTGTAGAATGCTAATTAATGCCAGTCCATCCAT